TTCCTCATACTTAGGTTTTAAACGGCTTTCTAGTTTTGAGTGTTTTCTTGTTCATTATTACATTTGATCTTCATGATGCCTGAAAATTGGACAAAGCAGATATTATTCCCATTTTAGAGATAAGAAAACAAGGCCTAGCAAGGCTCAAGGATTTGCCTAAAGTCTCATGCCTGACAAAGCTCAGATCAGACCTGTCAGTTTTCGACTCTGGTTCCAGGCTCAGTTGTCTTCTCAGTTATCTGTTTGCAGGTATGTCCTTTATCTACCCAGCTATTTTAAATTCATCCTCCCCTTCAAACACATACCACAATACAGGCTCAGGCATTTCCTATGCAACAGACATTTGATGAATGCTTGCTATATGGTTGATTAATGTATTTTGTGCCACCCTTTCTGCTTAGTTTTACTCAAAGATGCTACATTAAGAACTTTATTATTTAATGCTAATAAATAATTCCAGGTCCTTTCTTAAAAGCTTATCTAAACTGTGTGACGTTCCATTTGCATTTTAAGATAGAAATTTGTTTCTGGACCTTTGCCCCTGAAGACATGAATAGTTTTTTGTCGTTGTTACTTTTGAAATTCAGTCCTAAGTATTTTAGCAAAAAGGGCTTTTGCAAATGCTTTCCTTTAGCTGCTTTATGTTCCTTGAGCTGTTAGGACAGATGTTACTTTATACTTTCGATGCTTCGTACTGCCCATGCCTGGGAGATGGTTTGGCACACAACTTCTATAGAAATTCAAATGTCAATTATGACATTGGACATTTTTAATGGAAAAGTAATAGGATTTTAAAGATGGAAAAAGATCTGAGCGGTCATCTCATCAAACCCTCACCATTTTTCAAAGGAGGAAACAGGTCTCCAGACATTGAACATCTTCTCTCAACATCATCAGCCCAGGCCTGAGCCTCAAGTCACCTGATTTACAAGTCCCACTTTTAATGAATGCTGCCCCCCTTCAGCTAATGCCTTCCTTTTTTTAAAGGAGTGTTTTCAGACCTTAATTTGAAGGATAAGTCTGATCTCATCATTTAAGATCTTAAGACTGGAAATAGATTCTGATTTTATCACTTAATAGAAAAGTTTTCATTTTATTGCTTATTTCTCTCATTTTTTAAACCAAAGTTTTCAGGCAGTTACAAAATTGTTTTCTTCCATTCAGACTTCAGCTCATCACTGTGTAAATTTCTACCAACAGAACTGTGCTCTTCCTGAGTTGGCTATTTTTTATATCACTGCTCCTTGCCCATCTGGAAATACCTCTTCCTGACCAGCCTTCTTTCCAGTCTGGGGCAACACATGCCTCCTCTCATGGGACCAGGAGATGGCTGACACTTGAGAACTTTTCCAGGAGCCATCTGAGTTCTAGAAGTCACAGAAGAGAGCAGTGAGTGTTCAGGCTCACCTTTGTGCACATACCTGCATTTACAGAGCCCGTCCACTGACTGTCAGGCTATGGGGTAGGGCCTGGTTTCAGAAAGGTAGGAAACAGAAGTCTGTGTGCTCACACCACAAGTGGAAACAGATTTTGTTCTATCTAGACAGAGTTATAAGTGACTAAATTTTATAAACATAAAAGGGGGGAAAATAACAAAACCAAGAAAAACTAGAAAGAAAGGTATTTGTGGAGTTCAAGAGCAGCCCATCAAAGTCTCCATTAGGGCATCTGTCTTCATTAGAATATGGGTGAAACCGAGTAGAAAAATGGACGTGAGGAAAGGGAGATATGCTTGGATTTTTATGTTCCCTGTATGATGTTTCCGGTTTTCCCAGTTAAATGCATAGCGCTGAGCCGCCACTGATTCTTCTTGTCAGGCCTGGGACAGTTGTGATAATCAGTCCCCTTCCCTTACCAAGTCCCGGCACATCTGTGAGGGTCCTCATGGTTTTGGCTGCTCTTGGTTTGTTTGTTGCTTTTGCTTTATTTTTGACTATTACTTCACTTCTGTGAATAATTTTGTTGTTTTCCTTATATGTTTGTTAAATAATCACATCAAGCATGTTCTGTCACCAGTCATTGTCACTGTGTTTCTCTGCTTTCATTCATGCTTATACTTAACCTATTTTATTCTCTCCACCTGACCTAATTTTCAATATTTGTGTCATTTTAGATTATTCCCATTTTGTCATACTTGACTGGTATTTTCTCCATAAGGTATATATAATTCAAAAGGTGACAGTTTAGGCTAGGAAATGCCCAAGTGACAGGAATGAAATCAACCAGCATTTGATGGTTTTTTAGAAGTACTTCTAAAATACTTTTTAGTTATGTCTAACTGATATGAGGCTGTGCTAGAGCAAAGTTTACTGAAAGAAAAAAGTTATCAGTTTTCTTCAGTCTAGTTTTGTATATCAGATTTCCTAATAATTGCTACTTGTATCTGTACATTTTACTGATACCCCTGCATCTCTACCCAAATATTTTGTATTTATTTGTAATTAAACAAATTTTTTGGTATATCCATCCTCAACAATTTCATGTTCATCTTTTTTAATTCTTTTTTTTCCTTCCATTTCTCAAACTCCTTACTATTTATGGTTCATGAAAATGATTGTGAATCTTTCTTGGGATATTAGCATAGTGTATATTTTTTAAAAGCTTTGATTTTTATGGATTACAAGAAGCAATACATTAGCCAGCAGCTGATTTCTGCAAATTCATCAGTTTAAGAGGGTTTTATTGCCCATGTCCTAATAGGGATGATTGATCCTTCAAAACTCTTCCTTATAGAAATAAATGTCTTAGCTATTCACAGAGTTGGTTTTTTTTAAACAAAATATTACAAAAAGCTCTCAAGAAAGTGTGTGGGTTGGGTTTTCCAGGTAATGTTCCATTTGTAGGTGGATAGGGCTTGTTTTCCGGGTGCTCGAGGAAGGGCAGAGATCAGAGCACATCTGTATAACCTCACAGCCAGGCTGCCAGTTGTCTGTTCGCAGCTGCCTAGGTACACACCAGCTGCCCAGGACTGCATTGTCCCCACAGCAGTGCAAAGCCATTGCTTCTTTCTCTGTGACAGCCCGCCCCCACTCCCCCCCCACTGGGATCCTCAGTCTACCTCTGCTTGCCCTTTCACTTCTGTTCAGGTTACCTGATAAAGCCCCCAAGATAGTGGCTTGTCAAGTAATGGGCACCTCTGGTGGTCAGGGCCCCTTGCCAGACCCCCTCATTGATGGAGAAATGAGGATGGGCACTCTCCCTGGCCAGTGAGCTGTGGCCAGGATCTACTTGCTCACAAATAGGTTGTAGGCATGCTCAGAACAAAATGACAGGTAACTTGTGGCAGCTACTAAACCAATGTAACTTGATTCTGCTTCCTTCTTGGTTTGCCATATATGGAAAGAACTTTGCTGTCTGAAAAAATTCAAAGGGAATGAGGTCATTTCCTCATAATTCCTAAGATCTCCAGCAGTGTTGTAAATTGAGATTTGAGGTTAGAGCATTAAAAAAATAAAAACAGACCCAGAAAACCCTGCTGTGTTATGAAATACTGGGGCATTTTTAATGTCAAGTCTAACAACATAATAGCTAGTACCCCCTTTTGCCCACCGAAAGAAGAGTCTTGTTAAGCTATGTCCAGAATAAGAAGGGCCTGGCCCGCTGGGAACCTGCACAGGTATTCTTAGAAAAGAACTTAAAAGCTAATCTCCACTCCTATAAAAATACTTTGTTTTCGAATAGCTTCCAAACCAATTTAGCCTTCTGTTTTTCTCCTCATAGCATCAGTATCTAAAAATTATAGCACGTAGGAAAATGCAGTTTTTTTCTTTGTACAATCTTTCATAGTTTTTGGTCCATTTTGACCTGGTCTGATATTTTATTATGAGCAACTGCTTCTTCAGCACTCTGTCCTTTTTATTTCTACTCTAAAATTGGTAAGAAGTAAGAGAGAAGACCACTGGGATTTCATTTTTGGATACTTAAATTATGTAACCAGTGTTTCTCCTGTTAGAGTTGTTATCCAGTGTACAAGGGGCCCACACTCTAAGCCAAAGACCCCTCAAAGTAAGAGCTCATTCTGAAAGAACAATTGTAGACAGCAGTAATTTTTCTTTTTTGATTAAGATATCATTGATATACAATCTTATGAAAGTTTCACATGAACAACATTGTGGTTTTAACATTCACCCATATTATCAAGTCCCCCTGCTACCACCCCATTGCAGTCACTGTCCATCAGCGTAGTAAGATGCTATAGAGTCACTACTTGTCTTCTCCATGCTGTACTGCCTTCCCTGTGACCTACCTATAATGTGAGTGTGTATTAAAGTGTCCCTTAATCCCCTTCTCCCTCCCTCCCTACCTGCCTTCCCCAGCCCCTCCCCTTTGGTAACCATTAGTCCATTCTTGGAGTCTGTGAGTATGCTGCTGTTTTGTTCTTCCAGTTTTGCTTTGTTATTGTACTCCACAAATGAGTGAAATGATTTGGTACTTGTCTTTCTCCTAGGCAGCAGTAATTTTAAAACTTTTGAATACCTGCTATACCGTGCTATGGTGGTTTCAATATTAGATTTTTTGTTCTTGTGTTTCCTACAGAAATGCTCAGCAAAGCAAATATACAATTGTGCTTGTACTAACACACGAGTAGGACCCCTGCAGAAATTCCAGGGCACTGGAAGCCAAATTAGAACTCTATCTTACTAGTAAACAGTCACACTGGGAATCAGAACATGAGAACTGAAAGGGATTCCATAGCAAGGCTGGCAAACCCAGATGCTAATGGGTGCAGTGAGTCAGGTGTGAGAGGACCATGAAGTGCCAGGTGTGCCAGCCATAACAGGGCAGCTCTTCCTCCATTCTGTTGACTTGTTGCCATGCCAGATTACAGTCACAGTGTTCTGATTTGTTAGGAGAAGACCAAGACCCAGGTTTTTATGAGAAATATATTGAACATAAAATATTGGCAAGTTACTGTAAGGAAACACATAATTTTATAGGGCTAACAAACAGATCTGCAGTTCAAAATATGATCTCTAGGCTCTTAGTTTCCCAATCCACACCTGATCCAACCTCGTCACATTACAGATGAGAAAATTGAGACCCAAAGAGGTTAAAAGGCTTACCTGAAGTGGAGGTAAGGTGGGCAAGGTGGGGTGCCTTGCTGAGAGGTCTGGTGAGATTCTAGAAATGAGAGCTCATAGAGGAAATTCAAGAAGGTGGGTTCTTATTTATGAACACCAGAATAGCTTTTTTTCTCCTTATAGTGCTTAAAATAATTTGAAGTAATAAATCCAGAGGGAAAAATTAGAGGTACTTTGTGCACCTTACTCTATTTCACTCAGTTGTTTTATATATCCTATTATTTAGAATTTACTTTTCTCTTTCATCTTCAAAGCAGTTCAAACCGTGATTTGTTGTTCAGATTCAGGACATGTATCATGACTTATTTTTCATTATTTATGAATAATGATGAAGGACAAAGTCTTTAAGAGCAGGTTATCTCAAACATATACACAAACCTACATGCACATATATTGCAGGACATGTGGCTTCAGTTCTTTTATGTGCTGGAAACTCATCTGAAACCACTTAATTCTAAGGTATGGTAGTAGGGATGAGTTTTGAAAATTCTCTTGTTTCTATATGGAATCTAATGAGACTTCAATATTGCTGAATCTCATTGAGGTTTTATTTTACTGCAGCTGTTACTACATGATACTGAGGTGAAAGTATAGAGATTAAGAAGTTTTTGTTTGTGCTGTTTTAGAATAACTGGCTCCGAGTCTCATTTAAACAAACAAGTTTGGGGTGTTTATTCACTTTCTTTTAGAAAAATAGGACACACTATTCACTTGACGTCTTTTTAAAAAAATTTTATTTTGGAATAACTAGATTTACAGAAAAGTTACAGTGATTATACAGAAAGTTGTTCTATAACTGTGGTACATTTGTCAAAACTAAGAAGTAAACATTGGCACATATTATTACCTAAACTATAGGCTTTATTTGGATTTATATTAGCTTTTAAAATTAAAAAGGTTACATTAAAACTATTCAACAAAGGTAATAAGTAATATATTCTTGAAGGCTGTGGCTTGAGGGGAGAGCAGTAGTTAGGTGCCTCCGTATTCTCCCTGACCGCCCCACAAAGGCATCCCGCATGACAACCTCAGAGAAAATTCTGTTAGCATGTTTGCTTTTTTAAATGCATTTTGAGGACAGGTCTTCAGCCCCTCTTCTCAAGGGGTTGCCTTTCCTCAGCCCCTCCTATATGGAAACTCTTCAGCTGCCTCAAGGGAAGTAAAAGTGTAGACAGGGAAGGGGCTGAAGGCAGGCAGGTACCGCGAGGAGCACACATGTGCCTGTAGAGCCCACAACTCCAACCAGGAAGGGGCAGTGTGTTATGAGTTCCTAGGTGCAAAAATAAACTACAAACTTGCCCGTAGTCTGTTTTCATGTGGGCTAAGGACAGCCACAAGCTGTCATTGTCCTTTGGAATGTCATTTGGCTTGCTGACATCTGAATCTTTCTTTTGTTTATTTTTGTTTAACTAGGAAGCCACTTTTTGGCTTGGGAGTTAACTTTCTGGAGGAATTGCAAAGCCTCTGTGAATGTGTGGCATGCCACTTCTAGCAGAAGGTAGTAACTGATATTTAACTAGAGATTGCTGTAAGTACCTAGGGACAAATGCCACTCAAGATGTAAAATGAGTGCTAAGTCATGACTAACATGTTTGGGAGATTGCACAGATTAGAGATGGTAAGGAAGAGATTTGAGACTCTTGCAGAACTGGAAAAGGAAAGGAAATTGACATATTGGGATGTTCGATATTGTTGACTGGTTGAATGATCAGAATTTTGAAAAGTAAACTACTAATGGGCACCAGGCATAGTTTTGTCAGCAACAGAAGGATGTCCCTGTGACTCAGCGAATTCCTATAAAAGGGGTTTCCTGGTTACTCATTCTCTGCTTTTGGATGGCCTGGTTTGGCTGACAGGATCGGTAATTTCCTCAAAGGCATGTTTAAATTTCCCAGAATCCTTTTACTAATTACATGTTCAGTGTATTGTGGATTATGATCCTGCCAACTGAACATTTCTGTCAGCAAAACCCATATAATCACATTGCAAACTGTGCTTTCTAGACCAAAATATTTTGAATAGCTGCTTCAATTTTTACACTGTCTTGAAATTCATTAGATGCTGTGCTCGAGGACAGGACATATTGGCATCACTGATTCCCATATTCTTAGGTTGCCCCTCCTACCGTGGATGTTCATGGGTTCTGCACCTAGCAAGAGCTGCCCTTCCTGATAGTGCCCAGATTCCTTTTTAGGGGGTTACCCCTTCTCAGCTCTGTGTGATTTGTTGGGAGGATAATTATGCTGGCTGACTCTGGTTCCAGGCCCCAGATTCTCCCTCCCCAAGCTCTGATGCAAGAAGAAAGGCTCCCCAGGACTTGGAGCCTAGAGCACTGTCTGCAGGGCCTCTAGGGCAGTCAGAGCTGCCTTCCGGAGGTGACTGCTGCTGAGCCCCTCTCAGGAAGGGCCTGCGGCCTGCCCCAGCTTCTGCTTCCAGCCCTTGCCCACCTCCCTTGGTTTCTCCGGGTTTCCAGTTGCTGCTCAGTGTCCACTTTCTGTTGATTCTGTGAGTGTAGGTCAGCAAGTGTTGGTTTTATTACTTTCAAATCAAAAACCCTAACTGATAACATCAGCAGTCTCTTGACTTATGACTCAAGTTCAAATATGACAGCTACAAGGCCCAATGTCACTAAATAGAAGTCTTTAAGGTTTTTTGAGTGTTTCACAGAATTATTGAATATTGAAGGTGAAATGGGCCTTAGAGGTCACTGGGCCCAATCCTCTTAATTTCACAGGTGAGGAAATGAGCACATAAAGCCGGAGACTTTCACAGTGCCCCAGGAGAGCTTTTCCCCAAGAATGCTGTTGGGACCCCTTCAGCAATAGCTTCATCTGGCAATATGTCTGGCTAAGAGACTGTCACCTGAAGGGCCTGGGAGGGCACATGGTTGGGTAGGTCAGAAACAGAACATGCCACTTTGACATCCTACACGGAGACCTCATGGCTCATCCGCCCAAGGCCTGTTGTCCACCCACCTTCATTCTACTCCCTGCACCTGTGACCCGTGGCACCCAATTTATGGGGTGACCAGGCAGGACATCTATGGCCTTGGAAAGGATCAAAGCTAACTGGACCACATAGGGATTCAGCTTCTGGCTGATGATAAGACCAAGATTCAAACTGTGCTTGAGACATCAGCTGCAGTGGCAGGTGTTACCTGCTGTCCTCTGATGTCAGCCCAGATGGGTCTGCATGATGCAGATGTGACTTTGTGTAAGGAAGTCATCGTCACCAGGCTCTGGAATCAGACAGGCCTGTCCCACAATGTAGTAGTAGCCTCCTTGTAATTACTGGGATAAAAACAATTAGGATTATGGAATAGATCTTGTATTTTTAATGTAAACTAAAGATTTTCTTCTAACCATTTCTTGTTTTGCATGTACATGGTCTAAGTATAGTGAGTCTCTGAGTTTTGAAGGAGTAAACTTTTTGAATTCACTTTGGCATAATAGCTAGATTTTAAAATTGCTTATGTGAAACTTTTCAGCAAAGCATAGTCCATAAAGTGATGTCTGCCAAGAATTTCCTTTATATATGTCATTATTTCACCTTCGTCGCCTTGTTCAGTCAGTAAATATACATTGGATGCCCACCGTGGGTTAGGTATGGAAGATAAAGACGAGCAGAAGCTCACATGGAGCTGTTAAGTTGTGGGTCGTCTCACCCTGACGTTTGCAGTCCAATGGGGGAGGCTGACATAAGTCACATAAGCACCTTAGTGTGGCAGGCGCTGCTGAAGAGACAGTGCTGTGAGACCTGGAGAGACAGGCACTAAGCCTGGTTAATGGTAGCAGAACATCCGTTAGTACGAAGTGCCAACTTTGGGCAGGCACTGAGTTGGCTGCTTTTCACTTACCGTGCCTACTGCTTACGATGGGGTGAGGTGGATGCTGTTGTGCCCATTTTACAGACAAACACTGAAGCGTGTGGCGAGAGCACAGCGACAGTGCAGGTCTCTCTCGCTTCAAGCTGTGGCTTTCCACCTCCAGCCAGAAACTGCTGCCCCAGACATTTGGAATTTGGCCTGACTTTCATCACATAGTAACTCCTTGTCTTTGCTAATGGCTGTGGCCTCATCTAAGCATCTGTGATCTTTTAGTATATAACCCCCACTTATATCCACTTCTTCCTATTTGAGAACTTTTCATAAATGGAAACTCCCTTTAATTAATTAATTAAAAATTCATTCAAATATAAATGCATGGCTTTATGTTTCTTCCCTCTGCTTTGAAGGTCCCTAGTGTACTTACTTCTGTACTTACTTCTAATAATCAAATCTGTCCAGTCCATTAAGACTTAAAAATGTGTCCTACATATTGGCTTGAAGGAGATCATAATGATCCTCTGGTTGAATGGAGGCTCAGAGAGATAAAACTGCATTCCTGCTCCCTTGACACCCAGTACTGAGCTAGCTGCTCCTCTGTATTAGTCATTTCATATACAGAATGGGGCCATGGGTCCCAGGTTCCAGGCAGCCCTGAACAATGGAGCTTGCCTCGGGAGCCCTTGCTATCTGGAGGCAGTGCCCTGGGAGAGCTTTTCCCCAAGAATGCTGTTGGGACCAATTCAGCAATAGCTTCATCTGGCAGTACGTCTGGCTAAGAGACTGTCACCCCAAGGGCCAGGGAGGGCACACGGCTGGGTAGGGTGAAGCAGAGGGGGCTCCAGCTGCAGCTGGACCCACTGTGTTCTGTGATTTTTTTTTTCCCCATTCAAGTTAATGTACTGTAGCTGTGCTGTGCTGGACCCTCAGGAGGCAAGACAGTTGTGATCCCTGCCCAGGTGGCATATTTATTTTGGTGAGGGAGATGGGCATTAAACAACTTCCTCAGGTAGTTATTTAATGTTTGAGGTAAGTGCTGAGAAGGGAGATCCAGGAGCTTTGGGGCCTCAGGCTTGGCCACCTGCAGAGGCAGCTGAGGGAGGACAGCTGAATGGAGACCGGGAGAGGAGGGAGCCTGCAAGGTGGACTGGCAAGAGGTGCTCAGGGAAGGGCCCTGTGGCGGGAGTGAGTTTGGAAAGGTTCGTGGAAATGGAGCCAGGAGGAGGTGGACCAAAACCACTCTTTCCCAGCAAACACACCGCAGGCCTCTGAGTCTGTACCTATTTATGGAACTTTCCACCACTACTCCCAAAAGCCATCTTTACACACGCATACACACACAAAAAAAAACCCTTGCAATTTTCCTGTAGTAAAATTTTTAAAATTCTGCATGGAGTATAATAATAGACACTATGCTTGAAATTCCATTTCCTTGTACTCAGAGAATTGGGGGGTGCTATTGAGAATGCAGCCTTTTAGGGAATTAAGTGGACAGGAGCTATTTGAATTCAGCAGTGAATAAATATTAGACTTCTGAGACTTCCTTTGACCCCCAGTGCTTTGCAGGCAGGTCCAGGGAGGTTTGAGAAGCCCCTCCCACCCACCCCCAACTCCCATCTATTTGACTTGTGCTGACTAGATCAGGAGTCTTGGTGAGGAGCCTCAAGGAAATGACTGTGTCCCAGCAGGACCTATGAATTGTACAAGCTGAGGTAAAGCTTAATTCTCACATTGCCCACCCACAATGAAAACTGTTGAATGTCAAATACAGTTTGGAACTTTGAAGTGAAACTGCTTCCTGCCACACGTCAGCCAGTGGAGCAAGTCTGCACCTGTTCATCTGGTCGTTGGTTGCAGAAGGATTGAAAGAGAAGAACTGTCTGCCTTTGAGCTAAGGCATCTTAAATACTTATTACTCTGATTCACTTTCCAGCATTCATCCTCACTGCAGTTTCCTTTCATCTTGACACTGTAAGTATACATCATCCTTCCCTATGGAACACTGCAGATCTCGTTTAAATGGTAAAAACGTCTCCAGCTCAGGTGATCAGCTCGTTAGAAGAGCCATTTGCCACACAGGAAACATCAAATGTTTCTGACAAGTTGGAGCCTAAGGACTCGCTGTGTCATGAGTGTCGCCCATCAGTTTCCATAGCTATTTTCCTTTAACCAAAGGCTTCTGCTCTTTAGTTATCTTACAGAATAAGCAGAAAAGTAAATGGCTTTGTAGCACCTTACAGGGTCTGAGAAAATTACTTACAAATCGCTTTCAAAAACCGAACTGTAAAGACTTTAATACTACGTAAAAGTCAAAACCCCAATCTGAAGTTTCTCCTTACTATGACTGCTTCGCTTTGTAACCTAGAGACTGCAGTAGGGCTTGGGGTTATGAACTGCAACAAGTATTGGGTGGTTTCTCCCTAAACATTCTTCTCCATGAAAAGAAAAAGAGAGAGAGAAAGTTTAAGGGTGAACCCACAGGTCTGTAATACTTGTTTTTAAAAATCACAATTATGTATTATTTGTTTTATAGACCTACCTACAGCAATACACTTAAAATGCCGTATCAGAATGGCTGCGCAACTTCTCAATTTGATTGCTTTTCTGAAAAGCGTACCCATGCTTCCATAAATGTAATGAAAGCTTTTTCCGTATTAAAGGCATGTTATTGGGAGATGGAATGTTTCCTTCTCCCCACATAACTGCGCAGTGATTAAATATTGACTAAGAGCCAGGAGTTGACAGCTAGCAGCCTCACCCTGGTAAATGCTGATGTGTGAGGCTGAATGTAAATGCAGAGCCTTCCCCGCAGGGCCCTGGTTTTTTGTCTGCAAGTGGGGAGAAGGCAAGTTATGAGTTGCCCGAGGTGTCAGATTTGAGTGCTACCATAGAAGGGTGTAACTTGAAACAAGTAATCCCTTGAAAAGCAACCCAACTCTGTCAAAAGGAAAAACTGTATTTTCCTAATCAATCTGACTAAAAAGAGGATGTTAGACATTTTAACAAAACACCTAGGGCATCCACTGAACGCTGCTCTGCAGAACAATAGCTGTCTGTCCCTGGAGCAGCTTATTCTTTCACAGACAATAACTGCTTGGTTTACTTAAAACCGACTGGTTGATATAATCAGATCTATTTCTGTTATACTCATTATGATCGGGATATTTCGATACATCTTGTGTATTTTTGTTGTATGTGTATTTTTTTTTGTTTTAAACAGTCTGAACATTTAAAATATACAGTTTGTTTTTCTCTGTCTATGGGAGGACAGGGGAAAATGAAATGTTTTGCTTAATTTCTGGAAGAAAATAGTTCTGTTTTTTTCCTGTTAATAAGATTCATTATAGATGTAACTGTTTTTACTCTAAGACTTTTCAACTCCACAGCAAATACCTGGAATTTGTTTCAAAGTAGCTCCCATCTGGGTAGAATGGAGGATATGTGCCTCTGCTCAACGTGCAACCCTTTGATTGGTATAGGTTTCGGTTGTTTTTCAAACAGTAGAAGTTGCTGAGGTACCCTTCTCGAATTTTCCACTGCCTGTTTACCGCACGCACTTCACATACCCTTGACTTGGGCCTGGGAGCTCAGTCTCTGGGAGCTGAATGCCTGTCAGCATGAGCCAGGCCCTCCCCACGAGCCTGCCCCTTGCAGGGTGTTTGGTGAGCTGAGTGGATCCAGAATGAAATGATGGATTTCCTCACATTCTGTTTTTTTAGGTGAATGGGGATCAAATCCAACAAACTCACTGTCAGTGTTTTTCTGCTCTACGAGGACACCTTTGTAATTTAGCTGGGCTTTCAGAGATTCAACCTCAGGGCCGACGATTGTGTTGAAGAGGCATCTGTCAGCCCAAGTCCTCCTTTCTGCCCACTTGGCCCACCTATCATATTTGGACCAGCTGCCCTGAACTCAGCCTGAATCGGTCAGCCTATGCTGAAAACCTTGCATGGTTTCTGTGAAGCTTGACTTGGGCTTCAGTACCAGGAGTGGAGAAGATGAGCTGAGGGATGTTTACTTTCTCTGACTTCATGTGGCCAGTAGAGTTACCTTCCACCCAGGGGTTTCAAATAGTCTAATCAAGATGGCTTTTGACCCATGTGCAGAACAATCCCCTCAGCCCTGCCTTGGTTTGTAATTAGGTGCCCCCACCCCCACCCCAAGTGTCTAACTTAGAAGTGGAGGGGTTGTCCTTGTCCATGGATCTGCTTCCGTCACTCAGGGAAGTACATTCTCTGGGTGAATGTATTAGGGCGGACACTGAAACAGACAATATTTGAGACTAAGTTTTCAATTTCACTCTTTCCAGAAAAACAATGTACTGATATGAATCTACTCTACAAGCAAGCTTTGGATACAAGGCCTAACAGAAATGACAAGATGCAGTCACTGTGCTCATGGCACTTAAAACAGTGGGTCCTGTGGATAGAACAAAATCTTAAGAATGGCCTGCTGAGTGCTGAGCATTCTTTCACTTGTAAGAAATTAAACTCAGAAACACTAAACACAGTTCCTTGATGTGATTTCCTGTGAAGAGGTTTATTGCTCATAGGAATTTAGTGGAGGTGCCCTCAGGGTTGACTGTTTTCCAAGAGCACCCTCTCAAGGCCAAATTATCCACTTTTCTTTAGCAGTGAGTTTAACCACAGTTCACATATTTATTAAAAATGGAGAGTATGCTATGTGCTAAGCACTAAGCATCCAATACTGGAAAAAACACGAAGAATCTTAGTCTTAATGTAGGCACATAAAATTAAACCCCCTTATTAGCATTTTCCAGAGAAAGAAAACCAATAGGGTGTGTGTGCATATATACATATACAAAAAGAAAAAGAGATTTAAGAAATTGGCTCTTGTCAGGACTGACAAATGTGAAGTCCACAGGGCAGGCTGGCAGGCTGGAAATCCTGGCAGGAGCTGATGCTGTCATCTTGATTCCAGAGGCAGTCTGGAGGCAGAGTTCCTTCCTCTGCAGGGCACCTCAGGCTTTTCTCTTAAGGCCTTCAACTGACTGGATGAGACTGATCCACTTTGTGGAAGGTAATCTGCTACCCAGAGTCTATGAATTTACATCTTAATCACACCTACAAAAAATGCTTTCACAGCAACATCTAGACTGGCATTTGACCAAACAGCCAGGCACCGTGGCCCAGCCCAGCTGACACATAAAATTAACCACCCATTTCCCACTCACCCCCAAAGAACTCTGTCATTTCAGTTGGATGCCTCTCAAACTTGAGCAGACACCAGAATCCCCTGGTGTGTTGTTAAAACAGAGTCTGGCCTCCACCCCCTTGACTGGGGAGGCCTGGTGTTAGGCCCAAGAATCTGTAGTTCTCACAAGTCCCAGGTGGTGCTCACGCTGCTGATCCAGGAACCACACTTCAGGGACCACTAGTCTAGGTAACCCAGGGTCTGTCCCTTAGCCTCATGTCTCAGAAGCTGATTTTGTGATCATAAGAAAGTTTTATTTCTTTGGGATGGGCCCAAAGAAACCAAGGTTACCAGATGATGTGTAAAACATCAAAGCAAATGTATTGATTTATAATAAGAACTAAAACCACCACGGTGGGCAGAATGATCACATCAGCCCAGGGGGGCTGGTCTTTCCTAGGTCAGCTCGGGGGAATGCTGAGGAATGAGCAGAGGTAGCTGGGGATCAGCCAAGGAGTGAGGATGACTGACTGACTGCTGCCCCCACCCCCACCGCAAGGACAGTTGTGTCCTCCCAGGCTCACTAGTCAAGGCTCTCTCATGGATTTTGTAGGTGGATTAAAACAGGGCCATTGTTTGGGGAATGTATGCTTTAAGTGGAGAGCTTAAGTTTTTACTGGTCTGCAAGAATGCTGCTCTCTGCACAGCAAACTCAACTCAGCAGGGAGGCTCAGAGTCCACAGAGACTGGAAATACTTTTAGTGAATCATTAAAAATTTAGCCTTGATAGTAACTTTTCATTATATGTGTAACCCATGCTGTCTTTATGAAAGAGGAACTTGAGCAACATTAGAATTTGTTAAAGTGTGGCCTTTATATGTTGGGTTTCAATTCCTGCTTGGAATTTGAGTGAAGTTACAATCTCCCCTTAAAAGACGACTCTTTCCATCTTTTTTTGCACACTAAGGGGATTTGACTTTGGAAAACATTTATGCGTTCCATATTTTCAAAATGTTCATTGTCTGTTTAGAAGCCGTTTTTCCTTGAGCTTTGGCTTCCTGCCTCCATAACGCTATTTTTAGACTTTACATTAAGAATAGGATTCCTTTCTAATAAAGACCTTTGAACCAAATTGTGTTGCAAAAAAAGTTTTGTTTATGTCATTTGTATTAGTGTTCTTTTTTTAGAATCTTGCAGTTGCCTTCCTCAGCATGAAAAGTTTGGCCTTTAGAATAAAGATAGACCCTTAAAACTAGTTCTGAGAAATCAGAGAGTGGGCTGGGTCCACATAACCCCTCCCACCTTGGCTGCCTTGAGCTTCCTGTGAAAGACAATGGATTAAATAACCTCAGCACACTGGGAGAGGTGGCCCTGGAACCGTCTTTGGGTTACTGTACATGGACCTCAGTGCAGATGAGAAGCAGACCCACCCCAGTCTCAGTGACATGGCCCAAGACAGATGCATTCTATTGTTTAACCTTCCAGATTCATTGTCCCATCAGTCCAGGGTCCAGCTAGCAAACAGAAACCATTCATTGCCTCTCAGGGAACAGATTGAATGCAAAGAATTGTTCACACAAGTGAAGAAAGCCTGAAATAGTAAAAAAGTAGGAACCAAGGTAACCCAGAGACTAGGTCACCTGCAAGAGGCAGCATTGCCTCTAAAACTAAGGAGACAGAAGGGTAGAGATGGTGTTAGCAGAATCTTCCTGAAAGAGGCCCCTGCAACACAGTAGTCAGCCCTGAGGTTGAATCTTTGAAAGCCCAGCTAAATTACAAAGGTGTCCTTGTAGAGCAGAAAAACACTGACAGTAAGTTTGTTGAATTTGCTCCCCATTCACGTAAAAAAACAGAATGTAAGGAAATCCATCATTTCATTCTGGATCCACTCAGCTCACCAAACACCCTGCAACGGTTTTAAAGATGTAGGACCCTAGCATTACAGTGTGTATGTGTGCATGTGGTATGTATCTATATCTACGTTTACCCCCCAAATTGTCCCAATGTATAACCAGGTTAATTAATTCTCAATTAATAAGAATGTTTATAAGTAGCATATATTTACATGAGAGGTGCCTCATGTGGCTGGGACCTAGCTGCAGAGGGTGGGGAGCACAGTTGTGCTTGGGGAGCATCTTAGAGCAGCAGGCAGCAGCCACAGTCAGATTACAGAAGGGCTTTTCTAGGACTTCTGTGCTCTGCTGCTGCTGGAGGAATGCCCCATAGAGCAGGACCTCTTGAAACACATCACTCCCTTCTCCCACGGGCCCGGTCTCCCACTGGTACCTCCCAAGGGCAGGATCTAGCAGGGAACCTAGTGGCAAAGGAGCCTGAGCAATATGATTTGCAGAGACTCAGCATCAGCTTCAGAGAGCAAGTCCATGGCTGACTTTGCTTCCCTTCCTTCACTTAACTATCCTTCCCTTTATTCACTTATCTCTATAAAAATCTTAGCATCTCAAGTGAGGGTAGTATTAGTAATAAAATAATCTTTTATTTATAAAGAACAAGGGAGGGAATCTATTAATCTATTTAGATTATCCTACAGATAATTTCCCAGTTACTATTAGGAAATATTTTTATATTAAAGAAAAACAAAGAACTCAGCTTATTTTTAATATCATGTTTAAGTTTCCCAGAGAATAAAATGCTGCATATTATTCTCATTTCACTTTTCAGATTTTATTTGAAGCCTTGTTCATATTTGGGTGTAAAAGTGCAACCTGACAATAACCTTTCTTATTTGTGTTTGTCTATCTGTGTCTAGAAAAAGAATGACTCATTTTCTCCTAAAGATTAGAATTCCATAGACATCTCCTTTTGCTCCAGTTTCTTTGTTTGTTTCTCCAATTGGTGGAGATGGTAATGATAGTGCCCTCCTGGTACAGTATTCAACCCAGCTCAATAAGCCTTTATTAAGGGCCTGTCAAATGCCATGGCTTTGGGCATTGAACAGATGTGGCTTTGAATTCCAGTTCTACCATTCAAATTTCTTAACCTGTTGAGCTCAGTTTCTTCATGTGTGATGTGAAGAGAAACACTAGTGTCACAGTGTTGTTAAAGGATTGTATGTGGTAAAACATTTGGCATTGTGTCTGGGACATAGTAAGGGCTCCTTAAATGGTACCATGCTGTTATTATTATTTTGATAATCACTCATAGTTTTGTCAGGATTTTTAGACATTCTTAAATTTAATAGTAAAATTTTCCTTGCTTAGATATTTGTGTTTCATTTGCACAATTAACCAGCCTGTTAGTCGTCACTGACCTAGAGGAGAATTTTTCTTGAAAATAATTAGTTTGTTTAGAATTTATAAACTGTTTTTCCTATCCAGAAAGAATTTAAGTTGGCTGGCTTGTGATTTATAAGGTTTTAATAATAGAAAAATAAATAACTCAAGTGCTTTAACCATTTTTCAGGCCTTTGGTTTTCATATTTATGCACGTTGACAATCAGAATGGAGATTTGATGTGGGTTGGTCAGGAGATGTATTCTCTTCTAACAACTATAGTACTGATTTGAAATTTTAGGGAGAACTTGGGTTCTCTTTTGAACCATGTCAGATTTGCCCATAACTCTAGGCAAACTATTTGATTCTTTTTGCTTACTTTCATTTTGTGTTTGCCATCAACTTGATTCACAATAGCCTTGTAAGAATTAATGAGAATGTTTATAAGTAGCATATATTTACGTTGGATGAAAAGGGCGATGTGTACACTGTATCTTACCCACTTTTGCGGGTATGCGGCAGGGTTCTTACCCTTCCCTGTGTATCTTAATCCCTGAGTGCCTTTAATATATTCAGATTCAAGACATCACTCTCTCACCCTAGGATTCTGATTCATTTAGGGCCCTAGCATTAGAGAGAGAGAGAGAGAGAGAGAGAGAGAGAGAGAGAGAGAGTGTGTGTGGTGTACCTATATCTATGTATGCCCTCCAGATTGTCCCAACATATAACCAGGTTGAAATTACTGGCAGAAAGGATGAAGCAAACCTGTGTGCTTCATTTTTTCTCTCACATTGTGTCTATTGGCCATTTCATTGCTTAGTGGATATGAGCAGATGTATTAGTTTCCTACTGCTGCTATAACAAATCGCCACAAACTTGGTGTCTTAAAGCAGCGCATATTTATTATCTTACAGTTCTGGAGGCCAGAAGTCTAAAATGGTCTTACAGGACCAAAATCAAGTTGTAGGTAGGGCTAATTCTTTCTGGAGGCTCTAGAGGAGAATCTATCACCTTGCCTTTCCCAGCTTCTAGAAGCTGCCTGCACTCCTTGAGCTATGGCCCCACATTCCTACCTCTGCTTCTGTCATGACATCTCCTTCCCCGACTCTACCTGCCTCCCTGTTATAAGGACCTTTGTAATTATATTGCGCCTGCATGAATAATCCAGGATAATCTCCCCATCCCA